TGCAGCCATGAAATTAAAAGATGCTTGCTCCTTGGAAGAAAAGTTATGACCAACCTAGACAGCATATTAAAAAGCACAGACATTGCTTTACCAACAAAGTTCTGTCTAGTCAAGGCTATGGTTTTTCCAGTAGTTATGTATGGATGTGAGAATTGGACTGTAATGAAAGTTTAGTACTGAAGAATTGATGCTTTTGAACTGTGGTGTTGGAGAAGACTCTTGAGAGTCTCTTAGACTACAAGGAGATCCAACCAGACTATCCTAAAGGAGATCAGTCCTGGGTGTTCATTGGAAGGACTGATGTTGAAGCTGAAACTCCAGTACTTTGGCCACCTGATGTGAAGAATTGACTCATTTGAAAAGACCCTGATTCTGGGAAAGATTGAAGGCAGGAGGAGAAGGGGACAACAGAGGATGAGATGGTTGGATGGCATCACGGACTTGATGGACATGAGTTTGAGTAAACTCCAGGTGTTGGTGATGGATAGGGAGGCCTGGCTTGCTGTAGTCCATGGGGTTGCAAAGAGTTGGACACAACTGAACGACTGAACAGACCTAGCAACAGAAGCAATGGACCAAACAGACAAGATCTCTGCTGTCATTGAGCTTCCATTCTTGTAATTGGAATAAGAAATAAAAAATTATATTATCATGGGATAAGTATTAAATTTCAGAAAGCTACAAAGAACCTTGACCCAAGAGTTAAGAAGAGGATAAATCTAAGTTTGAAGGCTTCATTCATAGAAGAGGTGGCAATCTATATGGACCTTAGAGGATGAGCTGGAATTCACTACACAAAGAGGAAGACCAAGGTCATTCCAGGCCTAGGGAACATCTGCTGAGTACTATGGGGACATGAGAGAGAATCGGGCCAGTGAAGAAGTGGCCCAGCAAGTCACAGGTTATTAATTTATACATTCCAGGTCTATATTAGATGTAGTGAGTTTCAAGGTCATGTCATTACCCAGAGTGTAACTCTTCCCTCCTGTCCTCATGTGTATGCTTGTGAATGCAGAAAGTACTTATCCAAGGTGACCTTGCTGTGTATTTGTTGACAGTAACCAAGTCCAAGTATTCAGTGAATCTCACCCAACCTTATTGCAAAAATAAGCAATGTATGATCTTGGATGGTGAACTAATTTCCTCTCTGTTCACAATTAAAGGGGGTTTTTCATTGATTATAATCTGGCTTGTTGTCATTTTAATATCCACAGGCAGACCAGATAGTTAAGCACACATTGATTAATGCAAACTTCTTTTTTCCTCCACTCATTTAAAAATTTTATAGCACCTCCTGTCTAGAGAGTTCCTGCTCATCTCTGAAATAGATTTCTGGGAAACTTTAATAATTTAAGAATTAGTTTCAGCAAATATGGAGTTCATTCTCCCACTTTATTCTGAAAAGTGATTTTAAATTATAGGATTGTGGATGAGATATAGTTAACCCAGTTTTGTTCTCAAAATGTAGTGAGGCTGAGAAAGAACAAAATCTTTTGAAAACAAGGGTACAAATAAATGTATTAAGCAAAACATGCCTTTCTATATTTAGCAACAAAATTTGGGGCGGAAGTGTCTTGATGTCCATATCATGGTCAGAGCTTAATGACAAACATTTGCAGTAGAAGAAGGAGAGTAATTTGTGTACCTATTGTGAAATATAAGAATATATGTTGAAGGGCAGGTGGTGCTGGCT